CTCAATTTTTAATGAACTTTTGCTTATACGAGCAAACGTTTTTACTCAAAAACTTTTGACACAAGAGTACAAAGCACAGCATATCACCAGGAAGATAACAATAACAATGTGTGCCAAGTCAGATTCAGGCCTAAGGCAAATCATCAGCCTCTGCTGCTGGCTCTGGAAAGCTCAGCTTACTGTCGAAAGGTCTAGAGATGAATATTCATGATGGGGAGCCTAGAAGCAGAACTTCTCTTATTAAAAAAAAAAAAACAAAAAACTGAGAGTCAAAGATTATACAGTTCATGCATGAACAAAAAAAAAAAAAAAAAAAAAAAAAAAAAGAAAACACAGCATGGATGCAATCATGCTTAACTAGAAGTTATAGTTCTGAAAGCTGAATAGAATGCTTTTGTGTGTCGTGTCTTGCAGGGTTTTCTTGTTTCCTCCCATGCATATGTAATCGTGTGCTGTTGCTCCACTGCAGTCTGTAGAGATGAAGCTGTGCGACGTTAAAGTGAGAGAGCAGGCGAAGGAGGACTGGCCCTAAATTTACTAAAGCCCCAATAAAGCAACAAAAGCGGCGAGGTTTCAAGCCTGCATGAATCATTCGGTTCAGAATATAAATATCTATCAGCTAAACACTTATCACAGCGCCTTGCAAAAGTATTCACACCCCTTTAATTTTTAGGATTTTTTTTTTTTTTTTACCTTACAACCACCTCCTTCCATGTATTTGATTCCAGAAGTCCAAGTAGTAAGTTTAGTCTAGCTGTCTGTTGTGTAATCACAAAAGAAATGCAGCTGCTTGGAGTTTAAAGGAGCGTCTAAGGCAGGGGTCCCCAAACTTTTTCCTGCGAGGGCCACATAGCTGTTCCTTTCTGTGGTCTTAGTTTTTGCAGTAAAAAAAAACAAAGAAATTCTTGTCGACGGGGGGTGTGGGGGAGAGACGACGACACTTTTGGATAGATTTTTACCCAAAATGCAAATGGAAAAAACCGTGAGTGAAACGGTGACTGACGAGTATATATTCCATTGAGGGAAAGTAAGTTTCACATTTGCTCAAAAGCCCCCTGGTGGTTGAAGAAAAATCCACATATAAACCGGAAAATACAATATATGAAAAAACACTGAATGCTCTCTGGTATGAGCAGGCGGGCCGGATCGGGCTTTGTTCAGGGGGCCAGACAAAATGACGTGGCGGGCCGGATCCGGCCCGCGGGCCGTAGTTTGGGGACCCCTGGTCTAAGGTTATAACAGACGGAGATCTTACAGGACTCTTCAGCCAAGTGGATCATGGTAACTCTGGAGGAGCTGCAGAGATAACAGCTCGCTCAGGTAGGAGAAATTTGCTGTTTGGCCGACTATTAGTCAGGCACTCTGCAAATTTAACTTAAACGTTTCTTATAAACACAATACTCTGGGGACAAATTCAAAAGGTTGAAGAAGAGTCTGAAGCTAGAACGCGACTTCATCAAACTTCCATGCCCGCGTGAGTTGTGTCTGGAGAATAACGAACACTGAACATCGTCCTGAACACACATTCAGTGCTGTGAAGCTTGGGTGTTGGGATTTTGATCCTTAACAGGGGATCGGGAAAGCTGGTCTGAGTTCAAATCAGAGCAAGACTTAACATTTGATGTCCACAGATGCTTACCGTCCAATCTGACTGAGCTCAAGTTATTTCTCAAAGAAGTGTGACCAAAAAAAAGTAAAATAAAAAAATAAAGTCGGTCTTTAGGCGTTTAATGTTGATAGAGACAAACCGCAACAAATACAGAGCTTCAATTGTAGCAGAGGCGGTTCTGCCAAAAAACTTTGAATAAAAATGCATGCCACACTTTTCAGATTTGTGTTCCCACAAAACCTGAGAAGAACCCTGAAATATGTTTCTTCCACTTCCCAGTCCTGTGCTGCCTTGTGTTGGTTTAAATCACAGTAAATACATTAAATTTGATTGCTTTGAGGCAAATCTCAAACGTTACCACAGACGCCAGACCGATTTTTGTATCTTCAGCTCACTTTTACTAAAGTTAGAGCAAGTAATTTCTAGAACTGGCCTCAGGACACATTGTGCTTTAATTAAGTCTTTATCAGAGAGATATTGGCTCAGCTTTAGAGCTCTACATATTTAACTACGGTGTGAATTTCTCTGATATCAGGGTTCATGTTGCTCATTTTTTTATATGTTCTCATAATTCTAAAAGTTAAGCAAGAACTACGTCACTCTTAAATAGTTCAACTGTATGCATAATCATTATGCATATTATCCAATATGTATGTATATTTATTAATGAATAAAATGCTGCTGTTTTAACCAAATCCAATTATTTATCACTATGGGATAAAATAATTGACTTTTTCTTTTTACCCACTTTGTTGCTAATTGTGTATTCTTAGTTTTGCTAAAAGCACTTCATTAACTTTGGAATATTTAATAATGCAGCAGCGTAGTGAAAGGCTCCCTTTGCTCCACGGTGCACAAGTTACTGTTATTCCAGAGGAGGTCGATTGGGCGCTGAAACCACAATGCACAGAACAGCTGAAACAGAGACACGGCAGTAGATGTTCAATACGACTGGCACTCCGTTTCATCAGCTATTCGTGCTTAAAGGACAGAGAGAGGATTACTGACAAATAAAGACAGAACATCTTTCTGCAAGCTGCTTCTTCTTTTTTTTTTTTTTTTTTTTTAATCTTTGCTATTTTGGATTCCATTCCGTTTCATTTAATTACTCAGTTCCAGCAGTGATGATTAAGCTCCTTAATTCAAATCCAGGTTTGGAATTGGCTCGGCGTACGTGAAGCCGCTTCACCCACATAAAAACCCGAAGGTGAGAAGAGGCTGTATTCTTGCAGAAAAGTGAAGCAAACAAGCCGGCACGTTTTCTTTTCATCTCTTTTTTTTCTTTTTTAATAATAATTTCTGCATCAAAATCGAATGTCACGGTTGACAATGCAAACATTACAGTCAACTCATTTGTTTTTTTTGGTTTTTTCCCCCCACAGGAAGCGTCCTATCGGAACCCAGTTCCATTCGATGCACGCCGCTTTGTTTATATGTGGAATAATCCCCAAGGCGAAGCTGGTTTTCATTATGCACTGCCTGCAGATTTGGAATGATTTAATATGCCGTGCATTTACATAGGCTGAATTTAAAAGTCAGGTTGGAACAAACAGTCTTCCCCTGAAAGCAGGCAGAGCTGCATGACTCTCTGACTCATCATTTATGTTTTGTTTTTTTCCCCCAGTGACACTGAAAGTAACTTTTAACTACGGGATGAGATGTCACCGGAAGAAAGGGGCCATCGCTTTTAGAGTACATTATACGACTTTTGCCTCAGGGAGACACGCGGATGTGACCTCGCTGTTCGGCCTGTGAAACTGTGCAGCAGACGTCTAAAAGACGGATGTCAGCGGTGGGTGGAGAGCTGGACATTTCACACGCTAAAGTCGCTGCGTGGCAAGTAGAAGAAAAGTTAATAATGAGTAACTTCATTCACAGTCTATATATATTTTTAAGGTGGAGGGGGGATCACGGCCCGAGTTGAAGTCATTTGTGTTTTTTTGTTTTTTTTTTGTTTCATTTTCGCTTTTTCTCTCACAGCAGATCAAACTCTCGGTTTTTATCATATTCATACGGCATAAGTAATCCATAATCTGAAAGTAGAGGGGAAATGGCATATGGTTTTGAAACCTTTCATTGTGAAGATTCATGATTGTGCGTTTGTATTCAGCCCCTCTGAGGAAACACTTGACCTTTCCCTGCTTGTACGCTGTCAAGTATTTTCTCGGTTTTCCGCACCTAAATTTGTCAATGTGGAGATTTTTTATTTTTTTTTTTGCTTAACTTCTTTTTTTTTTTTTTTTTTTGCAAAGCACCAGGCTCAGTCAGAATGGAAGGACATAATTCCTGGACATCAACTTTCAGGGCATCAGCTCACCACCAGCTTGGACAGCCTAAACATTTTTTTGTAAGTGTGGCCAAAAAGTTAGAGCAACACTTTCTGTCCTGCAGAGTACAGTGTGGAGGTGGGAGGTGCAGAGCAAACAATTAGGTAAGACGCAGTCCTGCACTTAATACGATTATAAATGACACATGAAACATTGAAAAGTAATATAGTAATATGAATGGTCTTAGTAATTTGACATTTGAGCACCTAAGAGTTGTGTTGTGTTACAGTAGTGGCCTCACCTAACCTTTGTCTCACAATGCTATTTGTGTTACGGCATCGTTTGATTTTATATTCAGCACTGTTCTCAACTGCATCACAGTTTTTGTTTTTAGAATCGTCCTGCTAAACGGTGAAACATCGTTCTCAAGTATATTAGTATACTGAAACTGGCAGAATGATGCTGCCACCGCCATCTGACACGATGGAGGGCTAAACTGGGCTAAAAGTTTCATAACTCAGATCAGTAGATATCTCGACTAATTGCTGGTCCTGCTGACAGTTTCTCCCTCCTGAGCTGTGGATCTCTGCGGCTTCTGAAGACAACTGTTCTGGATTTGTTTTATTTAGGGGTATCAAATCAGAATAGATGGATTCCTATGCATATTGCACTGAAATATTTCAAAAAACTGCATATCCCTTTATCTTATTTGGAGATCTAAGAAGTACTTTGGATTGGGCCATCAATCCCAAACAAAACAACAACAACAGGTAAATAGGAGTTTCTTAGATTCACATCAAAAGTATTTTAGGATTTTATAATAATGGAGAATTTCAATTTTGTGTATCCTGAAACAATTACAGACTTACTGTTAAAGAAAAAAAATATATTTATCTTCCCTAAAAAGACTCTATTAGAAGAGTTCTAGTGTGGTAAATTGGTCACAAGCCTCCACCAGCACCATAAGATAAACCAGGGCCAAACTGTCAACTGGTAGAAAGCGGCTTAATGAAAGCATGAGTGACACCAGACGCTCCCAACGCATAGAAGAACATTGAATAAGACAGACTGCATACACACAACGTTGAGAAATTTGGACGTGCATAAGCCAAAAGCCACCGTACCTTTAGTGAGGGTTCCTGACACCAGTCTCTGCAGGGACTGAATTAGCTTTTGCACCCCCTGCCTGCAGCGGCTGGTACAGCCAGCCATCGTGGGGTTGAGGCAGGGGCGGACGGGGCGGGTTTACACCAAGGTAAAAACGACCCCCGTCGTAATGTGGCACGCGACCTCTGCTGCGAGAAGAACCAGCGTCAGGGAATCGTGGGGTCATCAGGTGGGGTCAAGGGATGAGACGTGCTTTTGGAGAGAAACAGAAATATACATTTATTTTCCACAGAATAAGGTTATTTATAGTAACTACAAAACATCCTGGTAGCCAGCTTGGTTTAAATCGACATGTTACGTCATTCTTGCATCACCTATCATGACACATTCATGCACCTGCATGCACACAGCAGTGTGTGGTAAACTTTGCAGACAGCTAAACAAATCAGCATTAGAGTTGCCAAAAAGATTAAAAAATAACTCCGAGATGTCAACTCAAGCACAAACGTTCGAACACACACACACACACAAAAAAGTGCTGCAGGAGTAAATTGTTACAGCAGAAACCAAGACAAAGGAGAAATAAAATATTTAAAGAGACTCCAAAGACAGAACATGCTGCATCCAGCTCAAAGTTTGTTCGCCAGGAGACAGAAACAGTTGTCCCATCTGGTTTTGCTCACCTTCTCAACCTCCTCCTCTTGTCTTCTGTTCTAAAAATCTTTTGTCCTGCTTTAACCCTCAACCCCCTGTGCAGCTGTTATTTCCGTGTGAGGATTCCCCCAGAACTGCAGAGGCAGCCCTGCAGGCTGTGAAGGAGCGCTGCGCTGGTGCTCTGAGCAGAACTGAACTGCACAAAGCGCCAGCAGCCACCGCCGTACCCTCTCCTTCTCCTCCCTCCTTGGTGGTCCCTCCTCCCTTCTTGCATTTGTGCTCCCTCGCTTTCTATCCGGCTGAGGCTCCTTGAGTCTTTTTTAAAGTGCAAACGCAGCTACACGATCCGGTAAGCAGTCTAGGTAAAGATTGACATTTTATGTGGTTAAGACCGGAGGGTTTAAAGCTTGTGAAGCATAAAAGGTAAACTTAATTTTTTTTTTTTTTTACATGCAACAGCTTCAAAACATTAACTAGATTGCAATAAATAGAACAAATTACTTGTCTGAGTACTATTATTACTACTAACAACAAAAAAAACACCATCTTTGTTTAAATAACCATTTGCAAAATCAATAAGAATCTTGAAACATCTTAATTTTTTTGTCAGTTTAGTGACAAACTAAGAGGCTATCATCCTTGAAGCAGCACCAAAGTCCCACTTGCGGTGGAACACAGCAGTCTACTCAGTGTCGAAGTCACTCTTAAAACAGATTATGTAAGTCTGCAGTGTGCTTTTTGGAGATAGAGCTTTTTATTTCTCACTCCAGCGAACTGGGGAAACGCTCCGGGAAAGCATGACGCAGTGCTGCCTCTGTCCATTTCCTCCCCCCTCATCTTGTCTATATTTAATGCTTATAGATTCTATTTATCCGCTCACAGCCACGCTTTCTGTTTCAGGAGGCCGCAGTCTGGCAGCGTTTTCGGCAGGGCTGTGCAGAGACCAGTAAAGGGGCAGGTGCTCAAAAAAAAGAAAAAAAAAAGAAAAAAAAAAAAAAAGGGCACATCTAACCGCATTTTAGGACAGAATATTAACAAAGCCCCACAGCTTTCAAAGTTTAATAAACAATGATAAATTACAAAATTGTGAGATATACAATCAAAGCTAAGGAAAATCTATATATAGAGCATACAACTATGCATATGTAAGATATTTTATTAGTAATTTCTTTCTGCAGGTCTATTTTGTTATAGGAAAGTATTGCAATATTCAAACCTGCAATTTAGCAAGATATGTAAATCAGAGCTGGACCACTAGACATATTTTGTCTTTACAGAATTACACTATTAAAAATATAAACAAGGGCACAATGCAACCTTTTAGTGTAGTGTAATCTATAAAAAAGAGTTGCCTGTTTGCTGC